AGACAGTACAATTTGCAGGCAAAGGGTAGAAACCAGAGAGAACTCAGGATTGAGACTGAAACCCAAATCTAAATCCCTATGCACCTATGACTAGAATTCTGGAAGCTCTTGCCTACTATCACTCCCTTAGGGTTGTCAGCTCAGAAACAATCAACACCAGAAAACTAAAATTTAAAAAAAAAAATGCTTCAAGAAAGAGATTGGATATTTGAGCCATCTCACACCTCCTGAAGTTAGGAGACCCTGAGTCTCCATTCTCAGTCAAAGAAATGAGTTGTGCTTTCTTCCTCCAACAATCACCTGGACCCTTAGGACCAAAAATGTAATTTAAGAATGTTGATGTACAAAGGAATAACACTTTCCAGCATCCAGAGGCACCCAGTAGGTGTGCTTCAATGCCCTAAGTTTGGAAGAAAAATTATTTGCCATACTATGGAGCTCTCTAAACATACTGGAATATTCTTAGAAAAATCTTAGCAAACTGACATTCTCCATTCTCCTTTTTCAATTTTTCTCCTCTCTCTTCATTCTTCCCTCCCTCCATATTTTCATATCCCCCCCCTCTCATTTACTCAAGCACAAGGTCCATGAACCAAATGCAAATCTTCTCTTTCGATTTATAATATTTAAAAGACACATGACACCACTAATTCTTCTGTAAACTGCAAAGGCATCCACTTTGCCTCCTCAAATTTCTGTACAAAGCCACAAAATCCACATAGCTGATTTCCCAACCAACATCAGAGGGACAGGTATGCCAGGAATCTTGAAAAAGCTCATGGAAAATGTATACAATGAAAAAACTATCCATGGATTGAAATACTTTTGCACCAAAATAAATTTATCTTTTCACTCCATTTTATCAACTTTTTGAAGTACCTCTGCCCAATTCTATGCAAGATTATCTCTGTAATACTAAAAGCTGAGTTGCAATTCTCTAGACTAGTGCTCCATTCCCTTTACCTTACTGATATAACTGCATTCTAAATCACGTTCTCATTCGTTTCTAGAGCCACCCATGTTCAGGTGTGGCTAGGTTTGCACACAAATGCAAAAGTTACCCTCAACCCTCAATTTATCTTGAAACATTGAGAGCTCAACAGTAACTCTACATGTAAATGATGGTAGGGCTTCCATGGAAAGAGTAGAAGGGAACACTAAGTAGCCTACAGAGAAACAGGTAATTTTGAAACTACCGTGTATTGCTTCCTAGTGAAGTCATGTGGGTGATCTGAGCTCCCCAACTAGACTGTGAATTCTCTGAAGGCAAAAGTTATATCTTACATATAACTTTTTTGGAATTTTTTAAAAGATTCACTTATTTATTTATTTGAGAGAGAGAGTTACAGACAGAGAGAGGGAGAGACAGAGAGAAAGGTCTTCCATCTGCTGGTTCACTTCCCAAATGGAGCCAGGAGCTTCCTCTGGGTCTTCCCACACGGGTGCAGGGGCCCAAGGACTTGGGCCATCTTCTACTGCTTTCCCAGGCCACAGCAGAGAGTTGGATGGGAAGTGGAGCAGCTGGGACCCTATGGGATGCTGGCACTGCAGGCAGAGGCTTAGCCTACTATGCCATAGCGCCGGCCCCTAGAAATTTATATATAACTTATTTGGAATTCTCATGGTACCTGCCACACAGCTGAGCACACGATGGATACTCCAAAACTATGCTTACTGATTTTGTCTAATGCCATGGAGATAAATTTCAAAGTACCATAGAATAGAAGTAGCACACAGCAAATACATGTGGCAATTCTGACTCCAGCAGTCTATAATGCCATTTTGAGTAAGCCCGTCTGTACGGCTAATGAAGGGAGTGGGTTTGGCACAAAAGGTAGCTCAGCAGAGGATCCCAATTGGTCCCAGCTTAGAGAGTAAGAATGTAACATATGCTCTGGAAAGAGTTTCTATCCTGAACTGCAATTACCTGTTTACTTGTCTGTCTCCCAGTATGCTCCCTAGGGTCCAGGATCAAGTGGTTTATTTTTGTATCCCCAGCAAGTATCTGGCACATGCTAAATGTACAATAAATGCTAGTGGGTCGAACTGATGATAAAAGAATGGTTAAATAAAATAATATAAGCGACAGTGTAAGTGAAGTAATATGATTTAACAGAGAAATTTCCATATACTCTTAGACTCATCACACCACAGCACTTATCATTCTGTGCTATAATTGCTTAATAAATGTTGTTTCCTTGGATGATCAATTAATTGAGGAAAACATAAAGCAAATGTAGGAAATATATCAGGACATCATATAGGATTGTAGACTGTCCCATTGCACCCTGTAGTTGTGTTTCTCACTCCACGGTGCAAATCACTTAATGCTTGTCTCCCCGTTAGAATGTGCATCTCTTCCCTTCTTCATCTCTAACTCCAGAGACTAGAATAGTGCTTTACAAAGAGTAGGCACTCAACAAGTATCAGTACAATGAATGAGTTGTTTATTCTTGCTCTTATGTAGATTTCACTGGACATCAGTATTTGATCTAGTCCATGTACAGGGGTTTGTGGTATGGATGAAGAAGGCAAGTATCATTTTCCTTTTTCAGGACTTTGTGACAGATGCAGGATAAATGGCCTGGTCCTTGCTTGGCTACGTGCGGGCCCCTCCTCTTTCTGACAATGTTTGTCAGTTGATATTTCCAGGAACGCATACTGGAAATGCACACTTAGCTTCACCCTGTACAGTACCTGCTATTTTGGCCTTGTGAGCCCTATACACCAGATCTGTGTGATTTTGTTAAATAAGGAGAGCATCTGACTTTGTGACTCAGGCACAGGATCAGAACTGAGACTTTAAATGGCTTGTCTAAATAATTGAAGCAATTAATTTCTTTCATTCTGCCCATAGGAGACTCGCAGAAAGGACAAGATCTTCAATGAACCATGTAGACATAGTCACACATCTGTTTCCTGTCTTCGCCGCATTATTTAGTAGACACCGGGACTCACTTTTCTCTAGTGCCTTCAAATAACTGCATAAAAAACCACCAAGCCCTCAAGATTCAATCCTCTTGTCCATCTCCACAAGCAATAGCATTGTCAGCACCTGACAACTTTAGCCTCTTTCACTCCTATTGTTCAAATGACCAATATAAGCAGTGTGACCATACCACTTTGTAAATCTTGTCCACACAGGACCAGCCTAAATTCCTCTTTGGTTATAAGTGCCTAGAGAACCACAATCAAGTTCAGGCCATTGCAATGGTGATTCTGCAGTTGCATGATGAGGAAATCTACCATTTAGTGGCTTCCTATGAGTCAGATCCTTTATATAACACAATGTCATTTTATTCCTTGGAACAATATTACATGGAAGGTAGGTGTGTTCATTTTGTAGATGAGGAAACAGAGACAGAGAGATTCTATAACAAGAGGTAACCCCAGATTCAAAATCACAGTCTGATTCCATGATATAACATTATTCTTCCTTCTCCATTGCTGAACTTTTGATGGTCCATAAGTAGCACTGCAACTACTCTACTGTTTAGGCCCCAGTAGTAGTCGCTGGAATTAAGAATTATAGCTGAGGAGCAGGTGTTTGTTAGAGCTGTTAAGGTGCTGCTTGGGACACCTTGATCCCATTTTGGAGTTCCTGCCCCCTTCCTTTGCTCCCCTCAGCACCGCCACTTGGGAGACCCAGATTGAGTTCCAGGTTCCTGGCTTTGGTGTGACCTAACCATGGCTGGGGAGTAAACCAGTGGATAGAAGGACTCTCTCTTTCAAATAAAATGAAAATGAATAAATAAAAATTTTAAAAATAATTTAACTTGAGTCTACCTGGGACAACACTGGACTTTCAATAAATCTTTATTTATAGAGTGTGGATAGAAAATATTGTTGAATTTGTTGCCAGCAGAATACCATCAATTGCTCATTAAAGGTCCCATGAATTCTGGTGAGAATTATTTTTCAGGAACAGGGTATAAAGTCCACAATCTAGTCCACCCTGTCTCAATGATCTACTCTGTGAGTCTCTGTAAGTCCCTTAGCATCTCTGGATCCCTGTTTCATCATCTACAGAAAGGCAATCTATCAAGATACCTGATTTAAGGATCAAAGGAGACAATGGTTGTGAAGGTGCTTTGAAAAGTGTGGAAATGCCCTCCAAGTGTGAAGTATTCCTTTCATTAGTGGCCTAGAAGGCATATGCCAGTATGTGCCTCCGGGTGCACCAAATTTTGAACCAAAGAGGAATTTAAGCAATTTACAGAAAAATGAAATCAACTTAACAATTGTTATGTATAGCCTTCTCCCAGCCACCCACTCACCCTCATCCAATAGCCAGCAAACATCTGACAACAAGGTGCTGTTAAAAGCACTTGCATTTGAAAACATTCATCCCCAGTAAAAAGAAACAAAGCTAACTCAAATGTGTAGCTAAATCCTAAAATTTTCATTATTCATGACAGTTTCAAATTCTTCAACTGTCAAATGTTACCACCAGAACTGCGAAGAAATGGCAAAGTAGCTTTTTAAATTTTTTTACTTGCATCCCATTAGGCAGCCTATCCACATGCTCGACAAGAGGCTAGAGAACAGTAGTGTGAGAAAAGAAAAAGCAGAGAGGAGACTTTAGGGGCTGAATGACACTCACAATGGGAAAAGGGCTCGTATGCAGTCAAGGGTTTCATTCATTTTCAAGACTGCTTGACGACTCCTGCTAAGGCACGGCCGCTGGCCTAGGGCTACCACATGCAGTATTTGCAACAGGTGAAGCAAATTTGCACTATGCCAGGACACCACGTGGGGACTTATAGGGCTGAGACCCCTTGGGCCTCCATTCCCAACACCCATCCCTACACAAAGGCCCAACCCATTGCCTTCGTCCCCAAGAAACACTGCAAGCAAACCTGAGGATGCAAAGGGGTTTAGGCAGAGAAGTTCTCTCCAGGCCTGCCCGGGGGTGTGTGGCTGCAGAGCGGCTTACAGAGCAGCTCACGGAGGAGAGGGAAGTCTGGGAGGGCGTCCCAGAGCCACTTAGCTGCACTCACCTCCGGCAGAGGCACGCCGTTGATGATCAGGTCTGGCTGCTGGGGGCCCTGGCTGTTGAAAGAGTGATGGTAGATGTGGTTAGCGCTGGTATTGCGGGTATTCTGGTTCTCCACGTTCAGGAAAGTGCTCTCAGAGCGGCGGCAGCCCAGGGGCAGCGTCTGCTGGTGGTAGTCGAAATAGTTGAGGGAGGAGGTCAGGGAGGAGCAACTGACAACGTTCATCTTGTCTGTCTCCTCCACATCCCGGGGTACCAGGCGGATGTCATTCTTACTGATTTTTTTCTTCTTGCTTGATTTCTTTTGATGCCCATAGGAGTACTCAGCGATTCTATGTGACAGAAAAGGCAGCATGAATCGCTAACACCCTCCCAAACCATACTCTGATTAATAAACATTAAGCACCCCAGAGGGTTGCGCCCCATCTCCGCTCCAGCTCCTTATTCTGGCGCATTACATCACCTCATTTCTCCCTGTGCTTTCTACATGTGAAAACAAGCCAAGGGCCATGAAGTTTTCATATTAAACATAGGAACCTCCCCCCGCCCCAGTCCCCAAAAAGTTTCTACGCTTTGGATTGGGATGTGATATTTTTCATTGTGAGTGGCCAATAAGCAGGGGTGGGGTGGGGGTGGGGGGTGTGGAAAGTTGAGCCTATGGGAGAGAAAGCATGGAAATGCTCAAATCTGGAGCTTCCTGGAACCCAAAGGAACTCCTGGGAAAGATAAAGGGTAAGTCCCAGTTTAATAGGAGACAGAGGGAAATTTAAATAAAAAAAAAACACACCACCCCCCTGCTAGTTCCTCCAGGCGTCTGCCGTGTGGCAAGCACCCTGGATCAGCTTCCTCTGTGAGGGACCTGCTCGGTGTAGGACCAGGCGGGGAGATCTGACCCTGCTCCGTGACACTCCTCACAGCTCTCCTCAGCACCCTCCCCCCTGCCCTAGCCCAGCTCCCTCCTGCTCCACCCCACCCCTCCTCTCCAGGAGATTTCTGATAGCCAGACCCAGAGGAATGAGGGGAAATGCCTTTTTACCTCTTTCCCCTTAGGCTCACTTTCTCCTCTGCCTTTTTGTCTTGCTCCTCGCTAATGGGAGAAACTGAGATGCAATGCAGACACTTGCTGTTTTGTCCTTTTATAAAACAGCCGAGGAGACAAGTGATGGTTAAACAATTACTGCAAAGGAATTTAAAGGTTAGTGCATTCAGCATCCTTCTCCATTCAGGTGTACCTACAAGCAGCTGTGCTGCAACTGGAACATAAAGAGCTCAATTTAATTAACACTGACACAGACCCAGCAACGTGCACCGAAGACACCAAGCATTACGAGACTTGTCAAAAGAAATACATTAAAATATAGCCAGATTCTCAAAGTCATCTATGACTTTGCACATAATGATTCCGCTTATTGTTTGGAAATTCAATTTCTGGGCAATAATCAGGAAAACAATAGGGCTAATAAATAATACAGGTGGATCTTTACAAGGGAAAGACTGCCTGTATTCTCACTCGACAAAGCTAATTGTCTGAATACAAAAAGGGAGGCCAATTCAAGCAGCAATTGCAGATCATCTCACAAGTCTCATAAATGAATGCATTTCAGGAAGAGCCTCTGCAGAGGCTGAGAACAAGAAACCTCTGCCTAATCACATGGAAAGACACGCTCCTGAACTTTAGGCCTCTAAAAAGTCTGAGCAGATGGGGAGATTGCATATCGACAGAGGCAAGTGCTTGCTCTGACCCTGGGCTCTACCTAGAGCGAAGCCTATGAGATCCCCTCAACCTTTCACTCTGTGCCCAGGCAGACTTGCCATGATGCAAGCTACTGCTTTTGGAGCTAGGGAGCAGATCAAATCCCAAAAACCTCAGGACCAGGGTTGGTTTTCTCTCCTCATCTGTTTACAGAATCAATGGGAAGTTCTAATCATTTTGTTTACCCATGATGGGTAAGTTTGGCAATGTCCCGTCCAATTATTCAGCTGAGGCATTCATTGCACAGCCCTCTCTGTATTGACCAATTATTTAATTAAACTGTACTTCATTAATCCCAAACCATCACAGGGAACAGAGCGCTTTACAAAATACACATTTGGGTGAAGTTGGAGAGCACTGAGATTTGCTTCTTTTTTTTTTTTTTTCAATTCAAATGCTCTCCTCCCTGTTTAATGATCTCCCTGGCAAGCTCTCAGAAAGAGCTCTCACTTCTAGTCATACATCACCAAGAGGTGGCAAAGCCTTCAATATCTTTATTTCAAGCTGATTTCTTTTTCATCAAGGAAAGGGTCTTGTGCATTTACTTTATGCTGAGAAAATGGCTTAAAAAGAGTCCCCTCTACCATTATCTCCATATAAATAAAATTTTATTGACCCCCAATTTTTTTCCTATAAAAATTGCTACTGGCAGTCACAGGTTTCAAAGGTAAGAGCAATATTAATTTCCATTTCTCCCATCTGAAATGGCTTGGTTCTGAAGGAAGGAAAAGTCACGGCCATTCCACTAGTAACAGGATTAAAGCATTTATGAGGCATTGCAGCTGCTCTTTTATGGCACCTGATTGATATTCATGTGTGGTTAGCATTTGTCTACTAACTTGTGTAACGCAGAGAATAGTAAAAGGGAAACAATAATTGCATGGCTGTTACATATTCAGGGGGCTCTGATTCAGAGAAGTGTGCATTTCAGGCGGTGTCAACTACAAATCGGACCTCAGGAACATATTTCGATTGATTAACATGCAAGCACAGATGGCACAGAAGACACACTGGATGTGTAGGTGTGTGAAAAGCACACACACACCTTGGTTGGAAATAGCAGCATCATTCGTTTTCAGCAAAGTAAAGAAACAACTTTTTATTTCAACCGTTTCGATGAGACACTGCTGGAAAAAAAATACATGTATTATCCTAAATTAGGTCCCAGGAATGCTTACACTTATTTGGCCTATCAGATTGTAACAGGGAAGGGCTTCAGTACAACCCTTCAATGTGCTTATTAAGAAACCTTTGGGGGAAAAACACTACCTGTCATTTGAGTTTCCATGTTTCCCTTCTCTTTCTCTCCCTTCATCCTCTCTGCCACCTACCCCTCTCTGTTCTCTCTCTCCACACATGCTTCAAGAGAAACTGTAACACAATAGCACATAGTGACATCCACTGGTAGCGACAAGATTTTAATGCCACAGCACTTCCACTTTAGAGGAAAGCACCATCAACCCCAAAAAGATTGCTATTTTTACTAAAACATCTGGATGCAAAGTCTTGTCCCTCATTGAGATATTTGGTTGCTACATACCAACCAACCAGATATTTGAAAACATACAGATGTCTGATAGAATGTCACTTTATGTAGCCAGATGTTTGGACACTGATTACCAAAAAAGCCAAGAAAAGACTAAAAACACCAATCACCTGCTTTCCCACATACTCCGGTTCTCTCTTTCCCCTACTCTATTTTCCACCTTAGGCTCCCAGTCCCAGGATCTCTCCAGAGTTTATCTGTGTAACAGAATGGGCCAACTGCCATCACTCCCCTCTTCTCGGTACCTGCCCCCAACAAATCAGGTTGTACTTGGTTTTGCTGCAAATATGAATCTCTCTCTCTCTCTCTCTCTCTCTCTCTCTCTCTCTCCTGCCATAACTTTGTGGAGACAGCTGTGCAAATTTTAAAATGATAATTGCTTTTCTGCTTATCATCATTATGTGACAGAATCCATTCGAACAGTAAATGATTGTCTTCCAGCAAATTGTCAGATCAAAAGAATTGATCAACTTGGACTGTCACAAACTTTTCACCCTCCAAAAAGAAGCGCCGTGAGTATGCTGCATGCATTTAAGTAGGAAACAAAAACACTGGGTTTTCACACTGAGACAGATACACACACCTTATTCATCCAAGACAAAGCAGAAAAAAGAAAAGTTGGCTCTACCTGCAGTTGTAGGTCCGGATCTCTTTGTTGTCTCGCTTGCACTTGATTGCCACGAAGATCATAGTGACAAAGAGGATGCCGGCAATGGAGCCCAGGGCTATAATGAAAATCAGCGACAGGTTCACCGAGCCCATTGATTCTTGGGCATCGAGAGCAGGTGACAGGTAGATAAGGACCAGCGCAGAGGCAGAGAGAGATGTCTTGCCATGGTCGTGGGCCACCACGATAAGCTCATAGGAAGCCTTGGAGCTCTCGCTGAAGGTGCGGGTGGTTCTGACTTCGCCATTGATTTGGTCTATTTCAAAGAAGCCGCGGTCACCCTCGGTCATGTCATAGGTGACTCGGCCGTTTTCACCCTCGTCGTAGTCGTCTGCCTTGACAACGGTCACCAGGTAGCCTATGCCGGAGTTTCGGGGGATGTAGACCTCGGCAGTGCCATTGATCAGGGGCGGGGCCGTGATGACCGGGGTATTATCATTAACGTCGAGGATGATGACTCGCACTGTGGCGTTACTCTGCAGCGAGGGCAGGCCGCCGTCTTTGGCTAGCACCTTGAACTCGAACGCCTTGGTCTGCTCGTGGTTGAAGGATCGCAGTGCGTAGATATCACCCGAGTTGGGGTTAATGGAGACGTAGGTGAAGACAGGCATATCCCGCACCTGCGACGGCACAATCTGGTAGGAGACACTGCCGTTGAGCCCCAGGTCGGGGTCTCGGGCAGACACGGAGAGCAGATAAGCGCCGGGCGTGTTGTTCTCCTGCACGATGACTTGGTAGTAAGGCTTGGAGAAGTGGGGGTGGTTGTCGTTCTCGTCAGTGATACGCACGGTAAAGGACTTGGCACTCTGCAGCATGGGCACGCCGCCGTCGCGGGCCTGAATCGTGAGGTTGTACTGATCGTGTTGCTCGCGATCCAGCCGTCCGTCCACCAGGATAGTGGAGAAACTCTCGTACTCCTGCAGCCGAAAGGGCACGTTGCCCAGCAAACGGCACTGTACGCGTCCATTGAGGCCGGAGTCGCGATCAGACACCCGCACTAGTGCAATCACGTAGCCCGGGGGGGCGCTCTCGCTCACCTCCACAAGCTCACTGTTGACAGACAGCAGGTTGATGACCGGCGGGTTGTCGTTCGTGTCCAGAACGCTGACGGTGACTTTGCAGTGTGCCGGGATGGAGTTGGGTCCCAGGTCCTTGGCTTGCACGTCCAGTTCATACACGTGGCCCTCTTCGTAGTCTAGGGCACCGGTGACAGTGACCAGGCCGCTATGTGGGTCAATCTGGAAAAGCTCCCGCGTACGGTCATTCACGTAGCCATAGAAGGAGTACACCACCTGGCCGTTGGTGCCCTCATCTGGGTCGCTGGCATTGAGGCGGATGACAGGTGTGTTCGGAGGCGAGTTCTCTGGCACACTCACCGCGTAGGTGGACTCGCCGAACACCGGGTTGTTGTCATTGGAGTCGGTCACCTTGATGCTGAGGCCAACAGTGCCCAGGTGCGGCGGGTCGCCCCCGTCGAGTGCCGTGATGCGAAAGCTGTAGTGAGACTGTGTCTCACGGTCCAGGCTCTTCTCCACCACTAGTTCGGCAAAGCGTGAACCGTCGCCACGCGTCTTGATCTCCAGGCCGAACAGCTCATTGGGCGTGAGCTCGTAAGTCTGCACGCCAAAACTGCCCGAGTCCGGATCATAGGCGCTGTCCAGCGGGATGCGCGTGCCGGGGCTGGCCGCCTCCGAGATCTCCAACTCGATCTGTGCCGCCGGGAAACTGGGCGCGTTGTCGTTCAAGTCCTTGATCTCCACCTTAATCACGCAGATCTCCATTGAACTGGACATGACCTCTAGCGAGATGATGCACTTGGGACTCTGGCGGCACAGGAGGTCTCGGTCGATCTTCTGCTTAGTGACCAGCAGGCCGGAACTGGGGTTGATGTCCACCAGGTGAGGAGCCGAGTTGGACACCACGCGGAAGGCCGAGGCCTGCCGGGGGTCCAACGCGAAGCCCGCCTCCCGTGCGTCCTTGGCCACGTTGGCTATCACCGTCCCGGCGCGCTGCTCCTCTTCTACCGAGTATTTGAGGTTAATGAGAGCGGCCGCCTGCGTCCACAAAACGGCCAGCAGCAGCAACACCGGCAGCAGGAGCGACTCCATGGCTGCGCGGGGCTCTGCCTGGCCTCGCCTCTCCACACCCCTCCGAGGTCGACGCCGCCGGCGCTCCAGCTTCCCGCCGGCTCGGGCCGCCTGTTGCGCGCGCCTCGTGGCCCCGGAGGCCGCGGGAGGAGTCCCGCCCAGGGCGGCCCGGCGGCGCGGGGGGGACACCCGCGCCGGCTCCAACGTTGAGGTTGCGGTGGACTCGGAGGGGGCTCGCGGGGGGCCCGGGGGCTCCGGGGGGCCGAGGGAGCGCCGCGCGGCCCCGAGCCCCCTCCCTCCAGCCCGGCTACTCAGTTTTCCCCTTTCAAAGTTAGCCAGGCGCAACTGGCCGCAGCGGCGCAGGGCTGCGGGTCGGGCGGCGTCTGTGCGGTCCAGACGACGCGCAGCCGAGTCCGGTCTGCACTTGGGGCGAAGTCGCGGAGGGCGGCGGGGGCGCAGCCTTTCAGGCACTGCCCGACCCGCCGCAGCGCACCGGCACTGGGGCTGGTGAGCGCGTTGTCTGTGCACCTGGCATGCGCAAGAACCTCCCCGCAGCGCTCCGGGCTTACTGCGGAGACAGGACCCGCCTGGAGCGCGCCCTCCGGGGTCCGGGGGGGCCACACTGGGCTCTTCGAAGCCCCTTGGGGAGAAAAGAGGGTCGCAGGCGGGAGTCTGAGTTGCTGGCAAGCGCCGCAGGCTGAGCTGGATGGCGGTCCCCGGGCCGGCAGAGGAAGGGGGAGGGGAGAGAGGCTGCTGAGGCGAGAGCGCGCTCCTTTGCGCTGAGGACGGCTTTGGGGGGCTTGGGGAACGCGTCTGTCCAGGATCCGAGGTGGGCCCGGAATCCCCCCCACAAAGTAATTGAGGGGCTAAGGGCGTTTGCGTTTTGGCAATCAAAGTTACCAACGCAGCTCGAGCCTCCACGTCAAGTTTGTGAAAATGAGGAGATGGCAATCTGTCCAGGAAAATCGTAGTCCCAGTCTTTCCAGTGGCCCGGGGGTGGGAGGGCGGGGAATGGGGAGGAGGGGAAGGCAAGCGACAACTGTACCGGCCAGGAGAGGCGGGGCTGCCGCCGCGGGTAACGGGGGCTTTTCTTCCTCCCTCGTTTTGGGCTGGGGAGTCGCTCCGAGGGCCGCCGCCGCCGCCGCCGCCGCCGCTGCCACCGCCGCCGCCGCCGCCGCGGGAGGAAGCCCTCCTAGCTCAGTCGCATGTCGCTGGGGTCCGCCTTAGCAGCTACCACGGTCGACGGTTTGGTCGCCGCCAAAGTTTACTTGCAGGAGCGTCTTGCTTCCATCCTCCCGGAGAGGCGCTGGCCGCGCTGCTTGGGGCTCCCTCCCTCCCGGGCGCTCGCGCACTCAGGAGGTCTGTCTCGCTGTTTCGGGCCGCGTGTGAACGTGTGAGAGAGAGGAAGAGTGAGCGTGTGGTGTGGGCAGTGTGCGCGTGGGCTATGAGAGAGCAGGAGGCGATGGGTTTCGGGTGCAAGGCTTCGGATCCCCGATAAATCTGTTCAGCTGGAATGCCGCGGAGCACGACACGCCAAGGGCCCGCGCCAGACTAGGGACGCGGGTGCCAGTGCCCCCCGGGCAAGCCAGGCATGGTGCGCAGGAGGATGTGCTGCCGTCTGCGCCCGCTCGTCCGTGTCCCCCCTGCGCCAGCCGCCGCCGCCGCTACTGCTGCTGCTGCTCCTCTCGATGCCGCAAACTACTGGCCGTGGAGTCTGGAGAGAGCTGGAGAGAGCCGGAGCTGCCGAGCCCGGCTACGCCAGGCGCTGGCCAATCAGCGCGCCGCCCAGTGGGCGCCGGCATTGGGGCGTGGCCAAGGCATGGGGGCGGGGCGGGGCGGGGCCAGGCGGAAACTTACACACCGGCGGGACCTACCGGTACCCCGGCCTGCGGAGCTCGGGCCAGAGTGCGAGGAGGCTCGCCGGGCGGGCCAGGCGGGGGCCAGAGGGCACGATGGAACGAGGAGTGGGTGTGCTAATGCTGCGCCTGAGCCTCCCCGGGAACTGCGCGCCTCTCATATTTGCAGAGATTGAAGGAAAGACGAGGCGGATTTGATTCTCTTGGCATGTTTATCTCCCTCACACATTTTCATATCTTGAATATAATAATTCTCTCTCTCTCTCTCTCTCTCTCTCTTTCTCTCTCGTCTCTGTCTCTTCGCCCTGGGTTTGTCTGTTTCTGTTTTCCTCTCTTTTGATTTTCGGGTAGTGAAAGGAAGAAAGGGAAGGAAGAAGCACCCATGAGGTGGTCATCCAATCGGCTCTGGGCCAGTGCCTCTTCACTTCAGCCGACAACCACGGTCGCCATCCTCTCGGACCGTCACCCCCATCTCTCCTCCCCGACCAGATGCCGCACTCCTCACCACCGCTAGCAGCAGGGCGCCTGGCCCGGTTCGGTTCGCTCTTGTCTGGTGCTTGATAATCAAATGGGATCTGTAGCGCAGGGACTGAGCCGCTGAAGGGGTTGGGCACATTCGCTGCCCCTCACCCCACGCTGTAGAAGAATTTAGCTCCCTATAAATAAACTGTACGTTTGAGAAGAGCTAGTGGAGCGGACGCCGCCGCGCCGCGCCGCGCCGCGTCGCGCGGAGCCAAGCCAGGAGAGCCCCGAGCCCGGAGGGAGCTGTAGGGCGGGCGCGCCGTCCGCGGAGGTCAGCGGCAGCTGGGAGCCGGCGCTGGCGTGCAGGGCGCCCCAGCCTTCCAGCGGGGCCTCTGTCCCAGGGGGCTGCCAGCTCCGCTTGGGCGGCAGTGGCGGCTGCGGCGTGTGCCAATGCTGGGAAGTGGGAGGACAACGTGGCCACGGCTGACATCAAGCTCAGCCTGACTTCTGGACCGAAGGCGCCCTGGGGACAGGGGAGTCTCCTCCACTCCCTGATCGGAGACTCTTAATTAAGGTCACTGGCGGATAGAATAAAAGCTCCCTCGCTGAACACAGAGTGGGGGTGGGGGACAGATTCTCAATTCACAGTTCTTGGAAGAGTAAATCTCCCTTCTGAATGAGTCATCTCGGATATTCGGGAGTCTGAGGTGAGCAAACTCTTAACTAGCCCACCGGCATAGACCCGAGCTTGTGGGCTTAGAAGGAGTCTCATTTTGCCTTTTAAAGAAACATTAAACAAGAAAAGAAAAAAAGGAATTCGGACACATAATGGGTTTTCTCAAAACTGCCATCTTTTTACAGATAACAGCCCTTACAATTTCTCTTTCAAGGAGAAGCTAACTTAGCAACCTTTACCTTGGCGGTGGGAGGAGAGAAAGACAGCTTCCTCCTACAGAAAGGAATTATTTTGCGAATGAGGTTGCAAACCCCTGAACATACAGCGGAGGCCGAGGGGAGAGCACCAGGAGCTGGATACGCCTTCGGCGTGGCGGTCGTTTCACTCTTTCCCATTAGGATGCAATTCAGCCCAGAACATCAGGGAGAAAACCGAGGCATCTGCAATGGGCATCATTTAATTTTGATCATTTAGAGCTGCCAACGGAGAGCATAGTGGTGGCTTGAGGGAGCTCCGCGTCCCGCCCTGCTCTCTGCGGACACCCTTGGAGAAATGGGCAAGTAGTAGAGAATGACAACATGGCAGGCAGCACGCGCGCACCTCGCGGGCTCTGCGAAAACAAGGGTTCCATTTGATTTATCACAGTTATTTACCTTTGATGTCAGCGAGTGGGAATGAAGTGCATCTTGGTCTAATTAAAAAGGCCTAAGAAGGCATTTGAAACGGGCTTCCTATCTGATCATGGGATGTGAGCTCGGTGTTTGGCAGCTCTCTAAAATATTGCTTGGACTATTTAAACAGAACAATTAGCAGCATGCTAAAATGTTTGCATGCTATGCTTAGAAGCTTTTAGCTGTAAACTTTAAGGCGATCTGTTCCCCTTTAAGTTAAAAAGGGATGATGCTGCTTCCTTGTGGCGAAGGCTGTCAGGAACCCGCTGATCAATAAAAGTAAACTGGCGCCTCCACGGCTTGATTGAGCGGGAGCAAAGAGTCTGAGAAGTAGTCTCGGCCATTAACAATCCCCCAGGTAACAAGAAATGGAAGAATTACTCAGGTAAAATGATTAACATTGCCGTGGCATCTGAAAAGATGCACACAACAAGATAAGAAGCCTGTGGACCTCTTACCTTAGGGAGTGCTAATAGAATGTCTATATTCTGCTGTCTTTTAAAGATAAATAGGAGAATTCAATTCATGTACAATGTCATTACCTTTGTAATTGCAATCACATTGTAAAGACATGTTCTGCATTTGCAAAGACAAACGCTCTTTGCCAAGACGATGGCACCTGGCTCGCTGCTTCCTGCTCGCTGTTCACACTTCAGGCGCCCCTCTCTTCTAGGCAGGGCACCCAAGTATTTCCAGCTACCAAACCGCTTTTACAGACACGAAAGGTTGAGGGAGGCAGGGGACGTTCGCCTCTGCTTTCCTTCTTTCCCATTACCTCCCACCCCCAAGCTCAAAGTGACAGTTACACCCCCCCCACACACACACACACACGCTCACACATAAAATAGCTTTTCCATCCCCCAGTCTATTTCTACAGATAATCCTAACACCCATTGCTCCTAGAATTTCTTTTTTTCTAATAAGCACACTTGATCATTGCATTCCAACAATGCTATTGACTAAATGGGTGGCCCAAACACCTTCAAGATCAGGAATTTATTAGCTAACTGGATAAAGCCATTCTGAATGTAGAAAATAAAAACAAAAAGTTCTCTCCGTTTTCGCTTCCTTTTACTTCAATCCCGACGGGAGCCCCGCCTCTTCAGCCTCTTTAGAGACACAAGAGGGCCATCTAGTGACCGTCTTCAGTATTTTTTCTCTAACTGCGGCTGGGAAACTCTGGGCCCTGGGTACTAACAATGGGGTTCTGCCGCCTGCTGCAGCTCTGCCAAACACAGCAGCTCCTTGGGCCACTTCGGCCAGGATCAAAAGTGGTAATGAGATTTGGCTTTGGTCTTTTAACATTTCCGCTATGCCACTACAATAATACAGAATGACAATAGAAGAACACCAAAATGGAGAAATCCATACTTTTAAATCAAGCCACTGGGTGAGAGTAATTCTTGCTGCCGTCCAAAATTGAAAAAGGTAAGATAAAGGATTTTTGTTCAGAAATGTTAAAATTGATGGTAGGAACTGAAATGCCAGGATATGAGAGACGAAGCAGTTTAAGGCAGTTTTCTGAGATGTGCTTTCTAAAATGTTTGCTTTTAAGCTCCCGAGACAATCCCCCCCCCTTCTCTTTTACTTCTTCCTCTTCTCCCCACCCTCGCTGCAGAAAAATGGATCATCTTCTAGCTTAGCTTTTGTTGCATCTCACGAGCATCCCATTCCACCCAAATAATTTGACCAGCTGCCTGATGTGATTTTAAAATTAGCCAAAGTCAATTAAACTGTTTCTGCCTGCAAATCTGATCTCCTTACTTCAGTTACAACACCTAGAGTAGAGGTACTCAAAGAACGAAAAGGAGGAAACAGCACAAAACTGGAAAGGCCGAGCGTCGTTATTAAAGTCATCATCTTATTGGAGGTGCGTGATGTCCCTGGGAGGCAAAAACATTTTGCAAATGTGGAAGGGGAGTTGCAGAGCAGTTCAATGATTTGCCAAGATGACCTCATTACACAAAACTCAACCACTTCCCTTGTGAAATCAACAAGTGCTGGCCGTGTGCCCAGCATTGTGTTAGGGACTGAGGATATTTTTTTAAAGATGGACCTCGCGCTTGTGAAGATTAAAATTCAATTGCTTGATTTAATAACAGCATATAAATGTGCATCCTATAAATTATCCTAGAGGAGAAACGAGGATGAACTATATCATGCTGGCAGCTTCCTGAAATTCTGTTTCCCTTCTGCCGGGTTTCTAGTTGGTCCTCCCACCCTTCCCCCCTACTGTCCCAGGCAGCATAAGGAAAGGCATGGAGAACAACAGTCTGGTATTTGGACCTGCTGACCAGGGGTGGAGTGCAGTTGCCAGCATCCTGGATGCTGTTTCTGATCCCTCTGAAATACCAGGAAGACTCGGGAAAGAGGCCAAGAAAAGTCTTTGAGGTCCCTTGCGTTTTTTTTTTTTTTTTCCTCTCTCTTCCTCCCAAACCCCGCCCCCATTCCCACCCAGCAACAGAGGCTAGCAATGACAGCAGGGAGCCTCAGCAGATAAACAAAACAGAGAAAGTGTTTCTTAAGTGCTAAAATTGTCCGCCATGGCCCGGACAGACGCCTGCCTTTTCCAAGAAACACAAAGGAAGTAGGAGACAGTGGGGAAAAGAGACTGAGAAAGCTATTTATCACCGTGAGTCTTCCCACTTTGCCAAGGCCAACAGCCCTCAACAAGTTGTCAGATCCCCTCTCTTTGGGAATGGTACCTCCCACAGGGCCAAGCCCCTGCTGTTGCCCAGCTCCTAATTGTCCCTAAATAAACACACATTGTGGGGACCATTTAATTAGCAAAGGCTAAATCAGCAGATACATTTCAATAAATGACACTGCTCTCTAACACCTTCTGTACTACCCTGCGGTGATCACCTGTGATGTGTTGACAGCACCATTTGGGCTCTCAGCACTACTGCCTCAATCTTTTCAAGTGAATTCTCTCCAAGTGGATCCCAAATGCTGGTGTCCTAAGTGCCACCTCATGCCAACTGTTATTATTTATTCCCCCAGCACCACTTCTGAAAACAGAAAGTTCTCCCTTCAAAGGCCCTCTGATCAGATCATGCACAGCCTTTCCTC